TTCAACACAATGTCAAAACATGTTTTGAAAATTAAAGAAATTAAGGAAATTAGATAAGAATTTGAAAAAAAAGTATATTACGTATTAACCCTGTTTGGCTAATTGAGCAAGATTTTATCAAAGTTTGTTATCGCCATAAAGTTTTTAAAGGCAATGTTTAGAATTGTTGGGGACCCTAGAAAAGCAATATCTGTGAATTCATTATATCCGCGTTCAAAAGAAGTTTTACAGTAGCTAACACTCCTTATCCTGATGATGTTTCCTTTCTGTATTTCAGAACACTCCAAAAAAAATTAGAGTACCAGTAAATCATGGGTCAATCATGCTCATTCGAGAAATGTAGGGGTGTGTCATTTGTTATTATTAGATGTGTGCTGGAGGTTGTGGACTTAATACTAGACTGGGATTTCTTCGTTGAAGTGAATAAAGCAGACAAAGAAAACATCACCAATGTTAAATGGGCAATCTTAGCGTTTGGAATTTACGGTACAGTTATGTTTCTTACAACTTTGCTTGCATTTTGCGTAAGATTGTACACTATAAGAAGACAGTGGGCCATTTCAGATGAATTCTACGAAGGTGCAAAGAGAGCATTACCCATCATCTCCGTCATTTGTACTTGGACGGAAGATCTTCCACAGATATTGCTGGCTGTTGTTGTGGCAGTCAAAACAACAGAACTGATATCCGACGTACAAAAAGTAAAAGCCTGGTATGCTTTGGGAGAAGCGTTATTGCAAATTGCTATCAACTCCGTAGAACTTCGAAAGTGTTGTAATGAAAGACAATGGGGCTGCAAACGTTGGCTAGTAGTCTTTGAGCTCATTGGTTTTATTCTCATACTTATATTCTCTGTTTTTTTACTGATAGAACTTTATCAGGATAACTTTAAGGAAATGAATACCTTAAATTATACAACCACCACTTATATTACGAATATGAATTCTTTGTCCATCTAGTGCTTTGTGTATTGAAGAACCGCACAAAACAATGAAAGAAACAGTTGTTAAAGAAAGAAAATTGGTTATATGAAGTATTACTTAAACTTTATTTAAACAAACAATTTTAATGAAGTGAAATAACATTAAAAAAAAATGGGTCTTTACAGAGAATTTAGAGAAACCAAAATTTACCCTTTCAAATTATATCAGAATGAAAAATTGTTTACAAAATATAAAAATTTGAATACATTTTGTAGGCAAACAATGCTTCTGCCTTTGTTATCACTAAATACTCAGACATTTGAAGACTACAAAATAATATAAACAATTTCTAAAACGAGACAAGCTATTGACCAAAAAGTTAATGAAACAAGGATATTAAGAGTCTCGTTTGAAGTCATCATTTGACAAGTTTTATGGTCAATACAATGGCCTTATGAGCAAATACAACTTATTATTAAGTCAAATGCTGACTGACGTATTTCATACTAATTGTAAGGCCATTATTTACACACTGAATTGTCTATGGATTTTCCGGGTTTTTTTTTTTCGATCATGACAAGGACACACGGCGGGTGTGACCGGTCGGCAGGGTTGCTCACTCCTCCATGGCACCTGATCTCACCTCTGATGTTTTTGGAGGTCCGTATTTGCTTTGATCTGTATTGTTTAATTAAATTCTTTGAGCTTGAATACTGTTCGTAATCACCATGTTGTTTCATTTCATTGAACAAAGAATTTTTTTCATACGAATATTTATTTAGTTTAAAGTTTGAAGTAGAAATTTTCCAAAATATTAACCTCATTAACATTCAGAAATTACCGTAGTGTAAATACAAAATCTATGAAATTGTTCATTATTTTATGCTTTAAATACCTCTTGTACTCCGACTGCCTTATTTGTTTTTTGATATTTGAAGTTTTTTATTTCTCGGCCATTTAAAAAGACATTGAACACACTTTGTCTTTGAAAAATTTTCGTTTTTCTGCCGCTTACTTTTATATACAATCACATAGATATGGATGGGATCTAATTGTCTATTTATTCATTTTAATTTAAAACAAAACCTAATTTACTCTTTAAATTTTTACTCTATATTAATATGCATTGTACGCTATTATGTACATAGATCATGCTAAGCAAATCAGAATGCATTTTTTTTTAAATGTGCAAGTACCACAAATTTTTTGAAAAACTACTGCCATATACCCCATCCTCATCGTTTTTTTCTCATATTTTTTGTTTTGTGTTCTTACATGTTTATTAAGTGTTTATATGTGTTCTAAAGGAAACATTATTTTTAAATTTATGTTAGTATTGGCTTTGCTACTTTGTCATATGATTTGTCCTACTTGTTAACTGTTACTAGTCGTCAGCATTTTTTTTTTTTTTTTGATTTAAAAGTGTCTAAATGTTTTTACACTTTTATAAGTCAATTTATAGTTTTCTATATTTCTGAATTAAGCTCAGCAAAATAATTGTTATGTAGATTATGTAATTTGTAAATTTAATCTTGGTCAATTGTTAGTTTTAACAAAGGATAATTTCACATACTTGAGTGCTCTCTTCATTTATACATATAAAGTTTTCAGCAAAAACAAACTGCAAATGCGTAGAATTCTTTTTTCATATCATTACAGAAATACTCTAGAGGTAATTAAGTGGTACATTAAATTGTTTTATATCAAAGTGTCTATATCATTCATAGTATAGGTAAATGATTATCCCTTTTTAGCCATTTAGTCCTCCTTAAACTTACTTTGTACTATTGACCAATCAAATGAAATTAACAATTTTTTTTTCCTTGGGATTTTATCAACATGCAACCAGCTCTTCCCCTCCAGCACCCCCTCCTTTGCGTTGTCAACATGCTTAGCCTTTTTGTAATCTTTGTTCTAGAAAATATTTGTATTGGATGCCATTTTGTTTCTAAAATCCATATTATTGGCCGGGCTACTTTTGTCATGTGATGTCATACTTTTGTCATACGACTAGTAAGCATGTTTTTAATTGTTATATGTCATTACACTTTAACTAATCAATTTATAGGGTTTTTTAAATTTTGGATTTTAGTGCAGCTTTATATTTGATAAGCAAGATTATGTAATATGTAAATTTAGTTTTGGTGATTTATTTCGTTTTAATTCATGACATCCTTCATCTGTACATGTAAGAAGAACAAGTTGCGAATATTCATGCATATACTTTTAGACAAAAAAGTATATGTGCATTTATCATATGTGAATGTACACGTATTCCATTGAAATTTACTAATCCAAGGCAGCCTTTTTTTGCCTAGTTAATAAATGACAAAAACCAACTTGCACTCTTTTTGTTCTATGTTAGAACTAAAAAAATTTTATTGTTTCATTATATGTATTAGGGTAAGATTTATTTAAACAAAGTATGATCGAATGAAGAGAAAGGGAAGGATTAAAACACGTTCTGAGGACAGGAGATGTAGAAAATCTCTGTCATTCTTAGTTATTGAGCTTTGCAAAGTACCTCACAACCATTTGTGATAGAAAGAAAATTTTATCAACAAATTGAAATATTTTTAACGATTTTGATAGACATATAGAGACAGAGCTTCTTTTTTCCTTTCCAGGTAATAAATGATTGCAGATTTTACCATGAGTTAAATATTTCAAAGGCACTGCAGAATTGCTGAAAAAATAGAAGTTTGCTTGGCATTTACATGTATTTCTTTCTTGCTGGACTTGTAAAATGTCACAGATGATGGCAGTTTGTCTCAATTCATTTTTTGATGGAGTATTTTGATTTCATGGAAAAACTCTCAATCATAAAGCTTGCTTCAAGCCTAGCTTAATTTATTCATTTGTTTTCAAAATATTTAGGGACATTTAAGAATTTTTTTTAAAAACGTGTGTTGAATGTACCTTCCATAGCATTACCTATGCTCACTGTGTATACTTGAAATATAATATAGTATCCTGAGGATAAAATATTGTCCTTTTTATATTTCTAATGTTTTGAAAACACCCGCTAGTATCGAAATGCATATACATGTAGAACAGGCCTAGGCTGCGGGGCGATAAAACTTAGATGAGCTTACTTTTGATCTCAGTCTAACTTTTACAAAAGGAATTAATAGTGGAAAAGTGAGATTGAGATCAAAAGTGAGCTTGTCTAAGTTTTATGGCCCCGGCGCCATGCAGGACAAAACAAGGTATACCAGTAGTCGGAATGACCAATTCTGTCGGCATACAAGATATCTTTGTCTAAAATGTAAGCAAAAATTATGTATTAAAAGAAATTAATATTAACATGTATTAGTAATTCGTTCCAAAATGATTCTTGATAATCCAATGATAGAAGCAAATATCCTTTATTCATGTGCTCTGCCAGATAACATAACCATATATTACTCAGCTGAGGGATGTTTACGCTTGTCTCTTTACATTCATCGGAGAAGAAATACTACAATTCATGCATATTTATGATTAGCACACGTTAGATATAAAATATCAAAAAATGTCTACGTCAAATATTTCATTCTTTAATTTGTAAGTGGTCAAACAATATACATATGTACAGTAAAACACTCTTATATAACAAATCACGCTGTGTATCCTCTAATTATCGGGTAAACGTAGGAATCATTAGACATTTTTTATGAAAATAATGACCTAAAAAACTAAATGAAAGTCGTCAGCTCATTATTTCTACTAAAAAGAATTGTAAAACGTTGACTTTAACGAGATTGTAGGTATCCTTGCATCAACAATTTATTTGTCTGTAGATTGCTTTCTTTTAAAAATTGTCAGAATATGCATTTGCGTATCGAATCAACTAAGAGACATAAACCCCATTTGAATGTGATAAGAGTATACTGATATGCATTTGCGTATCGAATCAACTGAGAGACATAAACCCCATTTGAATGTGATGAAGTATACTGATATACAAAATGGGAAGTTGAGAATAGAAAATATAAATTCATCAAGTTGCATCAATGTTTTAATCTAAGGATTATATTTCATAATTTGTGAAGTTTTAACAACTCAAGTGCATTCAACTGTCAATATTTTAATACTTGACCATTTATAATTCGTACAGAAAAAAATCTGGGTTTTTTTTCAAATTAGAATCTTTTAACATTTTATCTTTGATAAATGATTTCACTATCAGAATCAAATCTTTGGTTTTGGAGGATACTGTATACCAGAATAGGCAACATATAAATGACAGCATTTGGTCTACCGTTATCCACAGTTCGCGAAAAAGATATTCTGTAACATTTAAATGCCTCCTCATAGTCTCCATTTTCAAAATAACAATACCCTAAAATGTTAAAATGCCTATAAGTGTGTAAAGTAACATCACATTCATACACTGCATTTTCCAATTGACTTATATTGTCCCTTTTCTCTGTAAATTTGCTACACAAAATTTTAAGATAAAGCAAATACACCGATGGATGAACAAGGAAAACCTTGTCGACGAAGCATTCAAACTTTAATGCGTCAGGCAAAAGTGGCAAATCTCCTTGTGCAAAGATAACATCATGGAAGATCGAAAGGTATTTAGTTTGAGGTAGTGAGCATCGAGGAAGTCCTCTGTCTTGTATAAGTGTTCCACCGGAAACACACATTGATTTGCAATCTGAACACAAACCTGCATATATCAATGTATCAGATTTTTTAGAGGCTGCATAAATCTTTTTCATAACTTCAGCCCCTTTGTCATACTTTTTGAAAGCAACAAAGCATGTTGCTACGTACAATTTACCAGAGACAGCATCAAGGTCGGAGTTTTCATCCATAAAGTTTGTAAGCTTTTGAAACTCTTCACTTGAAAACGATTTGGAAAGTAGCATTTGTTTAGCCAAAATCATGGCAGATCTTATGTGAATAAATTTCTTCACAGGAATCTTAATGCTAGCATGGACATCTTTAATATATCTATCATTTTCCTCAAACGATTCCTTGTACCGTGCAAGTGTACTAAAATCGGCTAGGACTGTTTCAACGTTAACATTTAGCGAGGATGCTTCGCCATAATGGAATAATCTTAATGGTTCTCTAGACTCATTGAAATCGTATGTTATCCGCGGGTCATGGTCCAGTCTACACTTACGAAGGAATTCCTCCACATTTCCATCGCTGTTTTCCAAAGTTGTGTTCAAATCAATGCCTTCAACACACTGCATCGAGTACCGTATTATATTTTGAATGATCTCTTCAATAACATTAAGCATTGCATCCTTTACTTTCGGATCTCGCAATCTCCACAAAAAGAGATTTTTTCCACGGTCTATAAAGTGCTTAAGAGTGCAGTTTAAAATACAGCCTTTCAAACATAGCAAACAGTTTCGTGCAAATTGAATAAGGTATTTTGGATGCCAAAAGTTGTCAATAATATTTTCTGACTCCCAAAACACAATTGTTTTCATATGGTAAGAGCTCAATTCTTCCGGAGCAACGGGATCTATGTATTTCTTCAGTAATACTTTTAATAAAACATAACATTGCAGTTGTATGTCATTAAAACTCCATACAAGTTCTCGCTCCCACAACAGATAAGAAATCCTCCATTCTACATCGGAATGCTCGGACATTTTATCACCAACAGCAACAATATGGCAGGTTAGTGATTTTATTTTCTCTACCACTTTCTTTGATGGCCACTTAAAGTTTTCTCTATCCTTTAACCAATCTTTTCCTACTGGGGGATGGCTGCAAAAGGGAATACCGTGTGCAAAATCTTGTTCTATAACGCCTCCTATTTTACTTTTTATATAGCCCTGCGGATCTGTATTCTTTGCAGTTGCACATGGTCCATGGCGAGATGTTCCTGGAGGTCCTGTTGCAGTTTCTCTCTTTTGAAGAAAGTTCATCCAAAAACTAACAACTTTTTCGTTAGAGAGCAGACGTTTACCATCTTGTCTCTCTTCTAGCATGTCATTAAGAGTTTTGCCATGTTCATCAAATATCGTTGGTATCGTTTCATCTGTTTTTAAAAGAACAAGTTTAGCATGCCCTTGAGAGCAGTCACTCGAGTCAACTAAAAATACATGACCTCGAACCATCTGTCCTTCTGCTGGATCGGAGCAAACATATATATTAGGACCCACTATCATTTTGTCAATATCACTTGTTTTTATATTGGTTCCTTCTGCAGCACTTCCTCCAAAATATCTTTGCACCGTCTTTTTATATCGTGAAAAGTACAAGAATTCCAGAAGGAGAATTGAACACATCTGAGCTTCTGTCTTGCTGCTGCATGTCATAGTGAAAAACATGGAGTTTGATATTATTTCTGAAACTTTACTCATCTTCTCCTCTGAAAACTAACGTAGAAGACTTATTTAACTTATTGAAGTACATACAGAAAATTAACAACCGACAAAATATTCTTAAATATTTTATATGGTTCAGTCCGCTGAATGTATGTAATTGGTTGTTTAATTCCTCTGTTGTTATACCGAAAGATTGGGACCATGTAAAAGTGTACAAAGTATAATGACATTTAAATTAAAAATATAACTAACCTTTGGAATGAATGAATGTTTCAGGTATACGCTTGTAGGAATACTACCCCAAAAGTATACTGAACAAAGTGAAACAACGTTAAAACATTCTTTAGGCCACTACTGTTAATAAAAGTATATATTGTCATTATTTTAATTTATGCTTTTCATTCGTCACGTGGTAACACTGGATTTTATAGTCCTTCCTTGTCGCCCAAAAATTAGCTTTTGTGGCAAAAAAAAATGGTTGATTGCATGAATGTCGACTGAATGACTTACCATTTTTACCATGTGAACGTTAAAAATAGCCTGTATTATCAAGAATTTATACATTTAAGTCTTTCCTCTTTGTTGCGTATTAAGGTTCATTTATTTCTTTTGCATAGAAATTGGATTTTTGCCTGTTCAATTACCCTCAATTTGACTTATTTAAGAGCTTATTTTAACATAGATCAATGCCTCTAATGGTGGTAATTGATATCTTGTCTTTGAACAACATTGTATCTAAAGAGTGTAAATGAAAAATAAAATGTATACATTTTCTGAAATTTTGAATCCTTTAGAAATTCAGTGAATAACCTGTGTAATTGTGTTACAATTCAGCAGTTCTCAGCAACTGCTGAATTGTAACACAATTACACAGGATATTGCCATTTGATATAGAATATTGCTATAAACAATCTCAGTCAGTGTATTTATATTGATTTACAGGAATTTGTTACTTTCGGTTTAACATCATTCTTTCCAATTCTACAGATCAAAAGCACAAAAAATGTACCTCAAACACCTTTGTATTTCCTGTAAGGTTTGATTCTTCCATTCTTTTTCTTGAGACTCCAAAATAGTTGAAGAATTAGGTCTTGGTTTCGTTTTCGATTGTGGTGTTATTCTCTGCGCAGGTATCACACTGCACATGCTCATTCGCATGCTGTATTGATCCCTGGTCACAACATGTATGTTAAAAAAAACCCCTATAGTAAATATACCGGGGTAGTAAAAATACTTCAGACTTCAAGTTCTTCGACATATGAAAATGCTATGTAGGTACATTATTTACCTGAAAGAAACAACAATTTCACGTCAATCGACATTGTTCAGTGCACTCTTTCAAACTTTACAATTCGTTTTAATGAAATGCAAGCTTTAAATCGTTTTAATCAAGATTATCTTTACAAAAAAAAAAAATTAATCTTCAAAAATAAGAATATTTCTAATAAAAATTATAAAATAAATAAGTAATAATTTTCATTCAGTATGTTAAATTTTTTAAACGGATTGGCCATTCACGGTACATCATGTATCAGTAGCATCTGCGTTATACACAGGTATAATGACATGTTTTTTAAAATATGTTCCATATATTAGCTGCAGAACTGTAGCGTTGTGGTTTTATATGTTATGGTCAAAGACTATTATATAAAACCATAACGCTACAGTTCTGCAGCTAGCCTTGTATATGTCAGTTCGGGATATGTCTAATATATAATTTCGTTTTAAATATGTCGTCTTGGAACTAATGTATACGACACTGATAATGCGCTGTATGCTAACATATAGATGCTAAGTAATTTCAGTTATGGATACATGCTGCAAATTCTTAAAAGTAAAATAAAAACAAGGTCAACTTAACAATTACATGTAGCATAGAGTACTCGCCTGTAAATTTATAATTGCATTGTTGTAGAGTGGTAAACCAGCTCTTCATTAAAAACTTGATGATTTAGCCAATGTCTATAGTGACCTGATTTTTTTTTACCCTTTATTTGCCTAAAAATAAATTCACCAAATAATTCTCAACTAATTCACCAAATAATTCTCAACTAACCGTCTGTTAAGAGTCAATTAAATATCCACTTTGACTTTTATACCTTTTGATATGAATTGTAAAAAAGAGTCATAAAGATGGATTGACGTTTTATAAGTACTTAGTGAATCTACTGAAGCGGTTGTCATGTTGGGGCTTCCCAATTCTCTAAGTCGTATTTCTCAGATTACATGTATCGCTGTTAACAAATACTTGTACATGTAAAAAGTCAACGAGGTAGACGGTTTACGTCTGAAAAGTACTTCAAACAATTAAATATTATGAAAATGAGCATTTTCTTTTTTTCAAAATCAAAACAAAAGTACCCTTTCAAATAGTATTTCTGAGAAATGTATAATTCCTATTAAAAAAAAACTGTTCTTCAAAGCAAGGTCATAAAATATTAATACGTTATTTGATGACTTTGAGATCTTTTACGAGTCACGAATGAAAATGAGCTTAAATAATAAATAAAAGTGATCAGAAAGTTTATTATGAATATTAAAACTAGGGTCAACTAAAATTTTTATAGGAAGTGCAATACTCAACATCAATTTACAGCTAGAGTAAACATTTACCATTAGTAGACATGTTGGGCAATTGAAATCTTGAACTATCATGTGATGCTTAAGCTAGGAAATCACATCATTCTTGTTTAACGAATATGGGATAAAAAAAGAAATAAGTTAGTCATTACCAGGAACTGTTGGCCACATGCTGTTATCTTAAACACGGGGAGCTTTAAAAACCTTTACAAACTCATTGAATGTATATGGCTAATAGGTATTAGATTCTATCGCTTGGTCTGATTAGCATCATCAAGCAAAAGCCAAGCACTTTTAGAAACATTGAGGCAGTAACAAGACAAAATTATTTATTATCATCTACATATGGAGCTTGCTTTTCCCAGTTAGCTCGTTGTGCAAGAGCAAACAATTTCTGGAACAAGACAAGCTATCGGGGATGTCGGTAACCTCGTTTGGAGCCAGCATTCAGAAGATATACGGTAGATAAGGAACCTTGTTTTCGGGTACAATTAGTCGTTGGATCGAGTGTTTGCTGAAGTTTTTCATATAAATTGTTAGACTATTGTTTTCACGCTGAATTATCAGTGGGTTTTTCGTTTATCTGATCAAGAAAAGTGTGACTGGTCGACAGGGAATTCTTACTCCTAGGCACCTGATGCCCTCTGAACTTTCCAGGGGTCTCCATGTTTTATGTCATGTTATCAGATTTACATACGAGGGGTGATCAAAAAGTTCGGGAACTAATTGAATTACTTCCTTAAAAGAAATAAAATGAAGTTTTAGTGTTCATTATTTTTTAAAGTAGTCCTCTCCGATTTTAATGCACATCTGCCAATAATCTGCCCATGCGCGAATCACGTGATCCTGGCGGTCACGTGACATGCTTCGTAGTGGTCTGTTCACGGAAGTTAAGAGATTTTTCCTAGTCTTATATTTCTTACCATGCAAGTAATTTTTTATAACAAGAACAGACCATCTGTCAGAAATGGCCAAATCTTGGCAATAGTATGGGTGGATAAGGATATCCCCTCCCAGACCTAGCATGACGACCATCACAACCCGATTCCTCCGTCTCAGAAGCGTCGTTTAAGTATGGGCGCCTTCAATTTTTCATATCTCATATGTTTAAAGTCTAAAGTAAACGATATTTCAGGGATTTAATAATTATATTATTGCTCGGACATTCAACTATTTTTCTTAATGTAATTTGGCGATCTTTCAAAATACATCAAATTTGCTCAACTAAGGACACATTTTTTTACCGGCTTGCTTTCGCTGGGCAACTGAACAAACATTTTTAACCATCTCCCTGCCTTCACTAAAACATTCCATCCAATTAATGATTGAACTTTTGGTAAGTCTTTTGACTTCATAAACCTTGTACAAATTATCACATTCTACTGCAAAGGAATTTCCGAGATATACCCTAAACTTTACAGCCGTTCGTTGCTCGAGTACGCGACTGAGTCAACCATTTTTTATCGCAAGTGACCTACATACTGACGTCATTTTCACATTGTGACGTCACAAACACGGAGCAAAACCATTCGGCAAACCTCGGCTGATTCCGTCACCTTCATCAAACCTCGGCTGTACGAGGAAACTTGATATGCGTCTCCGCTTCACATTTGTGATAAGGCTGCCTGTTTACCGCTTATGGAAAACGTAACGCTTTGAAAACGATAATAAACATGTATCTGACACACGATAAAAATTTTCAAAAGCATTTAGGTAACACTAAGAATAACACTTAACAAGAAACATGCACCTAGTATCTTAACATAATCACATGTTTGTTAACGGATCGCATTCAGTACACTGTGCACGTGTAATAATAGGGCGCAGCCATATTGCGCATAAAGTAGCTCCTGTTCAATGAAGGTTTACATGATACAGCCGAGGTTAGATGAGGTACGAATCGGCCGAGGTGTGCCGAGTGGGAACAAAACATTATTTAACATCTGCTATTATTTTATAGAACGTGTATGACTATATGTGTGCCAAATTTCATTCTGATCTGAATTGTAGTTTTTTAAATACATAGTTCGCGAACTTTTTGATCACCCCTCGTATTGTTTGTTGGATTTTTGAAACGATCTCTTTTTTATTTTCACCTAATTCAAGGAAAAAACACCAACCCCGTCTTTTTAAATCTGTAAGCTTGAATGCATCAATCATATAGTTCAAACAATTATGAAGAATGTATGATGTATGTTTGTTCCAGGGATGGGGTAATTGAAAAAAGTAATTGTAATTAACTGTAATTAATTACATTTTTTGAAATAATTGGAAGTAATTTGTAATTGAACATTTTTTCAATTACTTGTAATTGTAATTTAATTAATTACACTGAAAAAATACCATTTAATTTCAATTACTTTTTCAATTACATTCAATTACTTTATATAATACACATTCATGATATATTCATGATATATCGTCACCACTACCTCCCCATTTTACTGGTTTTTATTTTATTGTTAAACATATCCTCAATCCTTCAATTATACAAAATCTTAGGTGAATGCTTACAAAAAAAAATTAAATGATTGGCTTGACAGTAATAAAATAGTTTCTTTCTAATAATTATGTAAATTTTGAATTTTTTGATCTATGTTTATAAATATGAATTTTGAACCACCCTTCTTAGGTCTATTCAGCTATGAAACACACATTTATTATATTTCAATCTTTGTTGTTTGATCAATAATAAAGAAAAAGAAGGTGTGAGTCATTAATTAAGTTCTCTCTTGTTGTGAAGAGATGATTGCCCTCCAGATCACAGCTTTAAATTGCAATCAAAACAAATCAACTACTCTTAAGAGATATATTCATTCCATGATTTAGAAGACATAGCCAATGGAGATAATTATTTCAATTTAAAATGCTCCGCTAGCTTTAGAAAAGAAAAACTTTCAATTTGATAATTATTTTAACATCTAAACAGATTTTTATGAATGAATTTTCTATCTGTACAATTCTGATTTATGAAGTAAAATTGTTCAACATAAATAGCAATTTAGGATGTTCAGGTTACCTTCAAAGGAAATATTTAATTTGAGGGGTTACAGTTGCGACTCATTTCACTCTGTTAAAATACTCACTTTTAATCAAATATCATAAGCCATGCAATTTGTGTACATGTCGGTTTTGTGTGGTGGAAACTGCATCAAACTGATCTCGGATAGTTCTTTAAGAGATTCTTATTGTTTTTTAAATAAATGTTATAAATTAAACCAGAATGATCGATACACAATGCCTAAAGCATATTATTTCTTGTACTGTTTGTGCAGAGGCTGAGCTTATATACAAATAATTGATGTTCTGTATATTCATTGAGAAGGATTATGAAAAATGTCAAAAAAATTAAAAATGTAATTTGTAATTTAATTAATTACTTTTGCAAAGTAATTGTAATTTAATTAATTACATGTCTTAGAAAGCCTGTAATTTAATTGTAATTTAATTGAAGAAAAAGTCAAAGTAATTGTAATTTAATTAATTACTTTTTA